AGAATAGATATTAGTTGGAGTGCCAATAAAATGTCTAACAATTGTATAAATTAAGGCATTAATACCATCAGGGTGGCAACATCCAATGTTTTCATCAAAAATAGGTAGACTATTATCGTCAGTTTGATTAGCATAAATGACGGATTCTCGTTGTTCTTCGGTTAAATATTTTTCCTACCAAGATTTGAGCATACCAGTGAAACCGGAAGTAATTAATGTAATAATTTCAGGTTGAGTATAATGGGGATAATTACTAAGATAACTATTAACGACCATAGATAAATGATTTAATTTTTGGAGGATTTGATCTTCACTAAGACCATCAATATTCCATTCGTATAACTTTTTAGCAGAGACAGAAAATTGATTATTAAGATTAGTTTCTTCAAATTGAAGATCGACAGGAGTTGGTCGAGAATACCAATTTTTAGTGGTATGAGGATTGACTTTGGGATAATGAATTTTGTTTAGATTGAAAGATTGAAATTGTTGAGCTAATTGATTTAGTTCAGTATCAGTGGTGTCAATGTCTGATTGGGGAGAAATAGGTGCACTACTAGGCTGTTGATTTAAAACAGTAAGACCTTTATCTATAGAAGGTGAAGCATTATCAGCGGTAGATAATCTAGTAAATAATTTTTCAATAGCTTTGACAGTAGATTGATCATTGGTGACTAAACTAGTACGTTTGGAACGATTACTGGGGAGATTAAGTAATGGTGGATCTAAAGGTTGTTTAGTGGATATGGTTTGAACAGATTCTAAATTGGTTTCTATTTTGTCTAATTGTTTACCAATTGTGTTTAAACATTGATTAGTGTAATTATTTTGTTCAATAACCTTTTTAATCTCATTATCATTACCAGGTAGTTTGAAAGGAGAAGCTGGGATTTTCAGATCCTTGTTGATTAAGAATGATTTTCTCTAAAGGAGGATGACTAGAACTAACAGAAGTAGTGTCAGAAGTTTTCCATTTATGCTTGGTAATTGTATTAATCTTTTTGTAATATTTGTCAACATATTCTAATAAAGGTAATTCAAGACCATATTCAACCATAAAATCATACCATTGTCGAGTAATTTTGGACATTTGAGTAGAATTATATTTAGCATAATAAGCATGTCTTTGAGGTTTATTTTTAGAGGATTTAAACTCAATTAGTAATTTATCTAGATCAGGTTTAAATTCTTTTTTGATTGTCATTAATTCAGGATTAACAGGTGGTATAAATTCTTCGAAATCAGTTTGAGTAGGGGAATTATTAGAAGCAATTTCTTCTTCAGGTAAATGAGTATGTATAGAATAAACATGTTTACTAATCTGAGAGGAAGTAGTATTATCAAGTCCTTTTAACTTATTAGTAGAAGGTTGACTATTTTGACCAAGATAGATTTTATTATTTTTTCGAAATAAAGGAGTATTAAATATTTCATCTTCAATTTCAATATCAATTGGAACACTGGAAATACTATGTCTAGAGGATTGACTACGATTAAATTTTATTCGAACAGAACCATCATTGAATTGGTGAATGTCTTGGATATCTTGTATAGATAATTGTTGTTGATTATGTTTGTAATTTTCATTAACAGTAATCCATTGATCAGGTAGATCTATATTTTTCCATTCAATCATTTGGGAAACATTAATATGTGAGTCGTCAGAATTACTACTGCTTTGGATTAATAGAGTTTTATCCTTGGGACTCTTGTGTAAAGCATGAACATTTAAATTAGTTTGCATACATTTATAATGAACACGATATATTAAAGCAATATTATGAACTTTTTCTTTCATGTTAGTAAATGAACCATGTAATTGAATATTTAATGTCAATGCATCTAAAATATGTGGATCACGTAAGCTAAGTGTAAAATCAGGAAAACAGTTAAAATGTACGGGTCCTTTATGAAGACCAGTTTCCATCATACCCATTAAACTATCATTATGATCAAGAAAGCGAGTATCTCGTAAACATAACAAAACAGAGGTATTTTTACCTACCATGGTTAATGGATTAAGACCAACTTGGATTAAACCAATATGCATAAAATTGTAACCATTATTTAAATGTCTTTTGATTAATTTTGAATCAAATAATTGATAGGTTTCTCGAGGCTTCTCTAAGGCATAAACTTGTTCAATAGTTTTAACATGTAGAGTAATTTTAAAAACATTCTGTATAAAAATAGTTTTTTAAATTTTTTTAATTGGTAATTTCGGTATATTCCATCCTACATTAATTTTATCATTTTGTATTTCAACATCTTCTTCATTTATTACTAATCCTTGATTTGGTATTGAGGGAAAAGTTGTTGACCTAGAACTGACTGAGGAGTTACTTCTAAATAATCGATTCATTGTTCGGTTTAATTAATCAGTTTTACAGATATCTTAATACATACCCTATTCTTGTCATGTTATCACAAACCAAAATGGTTTGAGTACAGACCCTATTCAGGAGACCCCTATATCCTACACTGCCTAATCCTAAGGACTTACTCTGGACAGGGAATGAAAGTGAGTGACTTAAACCAAGTGGATAAACACAGACCGATCTCTTCGGTGATCAAGATGAACTGAAAACTTGATTAACCAAATAAACAACAGAATAGATTAATTGGAAGAAACTGAGCAGTTAGAAACAGGATTAAGGTGAAAAAAATTAGTGAAAAAAATCTTTTAAAAATTCACTAAATACCAAAAATACAAAAAAAATACGATAATTCAGTACATTTTTTTTATATTTTTATGTATTTATTAAATTTTTAAAATGTTTTTTCACAATTTTTTTATTTTTTAGATACATCTAATTAAGGTGCATCTAAAAAAGTAAAAAAAATATTTAAAATTTTAAAAATATTCACTAAAAACAAAAAAAACACGAAAATCAAAAAACTGTTTTCAAAAAACTTAATTCAAAAAACTCAAATCAAACACACTGATTCATTTTAATTTTTCTCTCATACAAGTAAAAAAAAAATCAAAAAAAGCCAAATAAACTTTCATAATCTTGATAGCATGCTGTGTGGGTGAAAATCCGACTACACTGCCCGTTTAGTGATCAGCTGGAGAGCACAGGCAGAATAGATGGCTTTAGCAACCTGTAACAGAAAGAAAAAGCTCCGGCGGTGGTTCTTCCACCCGGGGGCACTCCGACGATCAAGTCAGTATATCTCTCAAAGATAATCAAGTGCTAAACTGAATATTCAAAACATAAATTGCATACCTTAGACCCATGGAGGTGCCTCTCTTTTATAATATACTCAATCCAAGTCCCAATAGAAGTATGACTTCTATGAACTTCATCTCAATGTTTACTTTGGATTCTTAAAGAGATAAAGATAAACTCCCTAAGAGTTCTATCCTTATCCAAGGTCAAGTCCCCTCTCCGTCTTAGGACTCTTGTCCCTTATCTCGGATTCCGATATCCTCGGAGATGACCTCGGCTTCTCCAAGATTACCTCGGCTTAACTACCAGGGCACGTGGCACCTCGGCTGACACGTCGGCGTCACCATGCCACGTGTTGGTATTCAGAAAATACATCCCCACAACTGCCCCATAGGTTCTATTACCTCGGCATTTTGAGGTGATGGAACCTATTCCGATATTTTGTCACTTCTTTTCTGAGTAATGGTTCAAAAACTGATTAGCCAAGATTATCCACTTTCAGCCGATGTGTTCTCTTCAGAGAACAAGGCTTCGATCGTACTCTCCTACGCGCATGAGCTGTCATGCATATCTAACCGTTCCTTTCACGTGTTTTGTCTTCATTGGAGCGTGTCAGTGACGCGCCTGAAGGCTGTCTGTTCGTTTGTCTGCACCGTCTGACGCGTGCGTTGCTCTAGGCGCAATAATTGCCCTATTTTTGCCGCCGTTTCACGTTTTTGACAAAACTTTTCCTTTGCCTCTTTTTTTCCCTTACTTTTTCATTCTGTCTTCTTGCTCTTTCTCTCTCTGAAAGCTCTTTCTTCTTCGAATCTACCATCGCTTCAATCTCTCTTCTGGAACTGCTCTTAATCCCTTATTCTTGCGAAGCCTTCTTTGCTGTTGCAACCAATTTCTGAGCTCGGCGAACATTGCCCCGGCTTCACTTGTTCCGGTAAGATTCATTCCCTTCAATGTTAATTTCTCTTTCTGCGCTTTTGTCTGCCTGTTGCCATTACTGATCTTGTTCGAAGCCTTGGGTTTATTTTGTATCTTGAATTTGTGGCTATTCCTTGAACTTCTATACTTTTTCACCATTCTCTTTGCCACTGTTCTTGGTTTTTTTTTTTTTCCTGTATCTTTATTGTTTCTGAGAGCTATACCTCTGTTCTGGAATCTGAAACTTCGTCTTTTTTTTCTCTTTTTTGTATCTGCCCCAGATCTGTGCCTTCAATCTTGGTCTTTAGAGTTATTAGGTTTGGGATTCGTGCGTAGAACCTTCAAATTTAGGGAAAACTGAAATAAGCCTTATCAGCCATTTCTTAGATTTTTACCGAGGTTCTTGTAACCCTTCCTAAAAACGCCCATCTTCTGAAACATATTTTAAATTGACATAATGGGTATGTGGAGGCATAGGGTAAATACCCCAACAAAACTAGAATACTTTAGGCAGGAATTCTCTATCCCAGCCGATGTTCATCTTAAACTAGCTGGGGACAGTGATACCATCATGCCCACAGACCATACGATGCCCTTTCCTATAGTAGCTTTCACCGAATGTGGACTTCGGCTTCCACTTGATCCCCTGTTTCGCGAAGTTCTTTACTTCTATAGGCTGAACCCCATGCAACTTACTATTAACTCCTATAGGGTGATCAATGGTATTATAGCTTTAGCTAGGCAAGAGAACCTTAGAATTACCCTGGCCGACCTTCAATACTGCTATACCATGTGCCCTCTTGACCTGAAGGATAGGGGTTTCGTTTATTACCTTAAACCGAGATCTACTCAGTACAAAATCGTCCAATTCCTGAACGTAAACGTCGACGAAGGCTTGTAAAGATTACCGAGATGGTTCGTCCAAGGCCTGTCGTTCAAGACCTTCTTGCCGATCTTCCAACTGACGCCGAAGCCGTACCAACGCAATCAATGCTCCCACCCAAACCAAAGAGAGTTAAAAAGGCTCTGCCTAAGGCCAAGGCTACAGATGCCGAAGCTGAGGATGCTGTGCCTATTTCAAAGCTGGCAGAAAGCAAAAAATCAACCTCTGTTTCCACCAAGAGGTCAGCTGAGGGTCAACCCTCAGGGTCTACTCAATCAAAGAGGCCAAGGTCATCGTCTGCGACGACCTCGGCTTCAAAGAAGCCCGACGTCCCCTGGGCCCCTGATCTATCCCTGGAGGATAGGCCCATTATGGCTAGTGAAAGTGCCGACGATATTAACGTTGGTGTCGCCCTCAGTACTGCTCTTCTCCTTCCGAATGACTTGGAACGAAATGCTAAGCTTAGTGAGTATGAGAATTATGCTCTCATGCTCCAACATTCTGTTCAAGTAAGTATTTCTGTTTGTACTTGTGATTTTTTCTTCCGTTCTTTACTGAAAGTACTGTCTCACATTTCTGTTTTTTCTGCAGGCCATTCAGCATGCCCATTCATTTTCAATGCAATCTTTTGAAAATCGTCAAAGGTTGGTTGATATGAAAAGGGAAGCATCTTCCATGAAGAGAGAGATAAAGTCCCTTGAAGCAAAAATGAAAAAACTGGAGGATCAAGCCGAGGCTGCAACTAAAGTTCAAACTTCAGCTCTTGAGAAGGCCGAATCTGTTGAGGCCGTTAGAAAAGTTGCTGAGGCCGAGAAAAGAGAGGCCGAGGCTCGGAAGGCCCAAGCGGAGAAAGAACTCCAGCAAGCTCTGGCCACGAAAGAGGCCGAAGTCAAAGAGGCCGATGAAAAGGCCTACGCCCAAGGTATGGCCGACGTCGCAGAAGATTATAAGCTTCAAGTCAGGCAGGCATGCAACAGGGGATTTTTCCTAGGTTGGATGTCCCTGATAAAGAAGCTTGATCTCCCTGTTGACTCGCCCCTTCGGAATGCTGATGCCATCCCTTTGCCATTTCCTCCACCTCCACCTGAAGGTGAATCAGAATCTGATGCTGACGCCGAGGATGAAGATAAGGAAACCAATGAAAAAGCCTTGGTGAGAAAACCCAAGGATGCCGTCGTAGCCAAGTCCCCTCCTCCTACTGAGCAGGTTATGGACTTAACCTTGGATGAGGAGGGTGATGAGGCCAAGGAGACAACTAGGGAAACTGCTACTGGGCAGCTATCGTCCAATCTTCTCTTGATAGAAAGAAGTGTTGAGGAATCATTAGCAGAGATTGATGCCGAGATACAAGCGGAAAAAGTGGCCGACGAGGTTCCACCAGAATCGTCCGAGGTCCTAGTCCCTGCAGTGGCTAACAGCGAAGAATCTTGAGAAAATTGTCTTTTGTATTTTTTCCTTCTTTTTCTGTACTTTGCACTTTTGTACTTTTTTTAATTTTTGGACAATGCGAAACTTCTTCTTATGGCCGACGTGGCTTTTTTAATATATAATTGCAACTGTTCTTTTGGATGTTTTAATCTTGTGATGTTCTGTTGACTGCTTCTACGTAGTCTTGTACTGGGAAAAATTTTTTGCATGCTTCTTCATGTTGCTTCCTTTGTGCAATTTTCTCGGGGTGACATACCTCGGGTATAACTATAAAACTTAAACTTCGGCAAGATACCGACCTGCAAACTTTTCATGAATTTCAACAAGTATAAAACATATATTTCTGAATGTAAATTTTGCAAGTTTCTTCTCAAATAAGTATCAAACAGTGATCTTGATCTATCTTACTTGTAAATTGTTACAAATTTTCAACAAGTAGTAAACAATATACTTAGCCTTTACTTTAACCTGTAACTTTCTGTATACCTCAGCGGGTGATCATATGTCGGCTTAACATAAACTTGTAAATTGCTACAAATTTCAACAAGTGGATTAAGGAATAGCATCGGCTTAGCTTTGCCTGAGTTTGATATGTCTTCAATAAACATCCATACATAACTTTATCAATCGAACATGTTGAAAGGATTCTGAAAAGACTTTATTGATGATATCGGCCAAACAATGATGTATATCTAATGATAGAAAAATTTCAAATTACAAGTATTCCAAGGTCTGGGTAATTCTTTGCCCTCATTGTCCTCAAGCCGATAAGCTCCATTGCCTAATACTGAAGTAATTCTGTAGGGTCCTTCCCAGTTTGGGCCAAGCTTGCCCTCCCTGGGATCCTTCTTGTTCTCGACGACTTTCCTTAGTACTAGGTCGCCGACTTGAAAATCTCTTGGATTAACCTTCTTGTTGTAAGCTCTGGCAAGCTGTTGCTGGTACACTGCGAGCTGAATTGCAGCTTTCTCTCTTCGTTCTTCCAACAAATCCAGGTTTCGGGCTAAGAGTATGTCATTGGTGCCATTCTCTACTCCCTGGGTTCTGATCCCTGGGATGCCGATCTCCAATGGGATGACTGCTTCTGTGCCATAGGCCATGGCAAAGGGGGATTCTCCTGTTGATCTTCTCGGCGTAGTCCGATATGCCCAAAGTACGTTGGGCAACTCGTCCACCCACTTTCCTTTTGCTGCCTGCAGCCTCTTCTTTATTCCATCCAGGATTACTTTGTTGGATGCCTCTGCTTGCCCATTGCTTTGAGGAAAACTTGGTGTTGAGGAATAATTCTTGATCTTGAATTTTTCACAAAAGTTTTTGATAAGTTTGCTGTCGAACTGCGTTCCGTTGTCGGCAACTATTGCTCTTGGAATCCCAAATCTGGTGATAATGTTTCTCCATATAAAATTCTTGACGTCTATATCTCGAATTTTGGCAAGAGGTTCTGCCTCTATCCATTTTGTAAAGTAGTCTGTTGCTACCAGCAAGTATTTTCTCTGCCCAGTTGCCTGGGGAAGTTGTCCAACCAGATCCATGCCTGACAAAGACGGTCACAAAGGTCCCCCCCCAACGGGGGGGCGCCGGGCCGTGCCACACCGGCCGCGGGCAAACTTCGGGCAGCGGGCAAGATTTAACTCCTATTAATGTTAATGTTAACATGTCAATGTGTGATATTTACATTGTCACGGGTCGGGCCAAGCCCGCCTCTCGGCTTCGGGCCGCCAAGGGCTGCGGGCCAATTTTACACTTCTTATCAATGTGAATGTTAACACTGTCATGTGAATATTCACATTGTCAACAGGCCGGACTGGGCCCGTCCCGGGCCGCCTAGGGGCCGTGGGCGGGTTTCGGGCAACCACGAGTCGCGAGCTAATTTTTACACTCCTATCAATGTGAATGTTAACATGTCAATGTGAATATTCACATTGTCAACGGGTCGGACCCGGGCCCGCCGCGGCCAATTTTACACTCCTATTTAATGTGAATGTTAAACATATCAATGTGAATATTCACATTGTCAACGGCCTGGGCCACCCCGATCCGACTCGAATTTTTTCGGGCACCCACGAGGATTGACATGAGCCGGGCCCCTACACATTGACGGTGTGAGCATTCACATTATGGGTATTTGGTAATTATGTCACCCATAGGACTTATTGAACATAAAAAATAATATGAACTAAATGGAACATAAGTAGATGAAAAAGGTATTTTGGTCTTCTTATCTCAATAGGACCTAATGGAATAGTCAAAAAAATATGGATTAAATAGAATAAAACTCTTAAAAAGTGAATTTATCAAAAAAAACTCTCTAAAAAAATTATTAAATAGTACTTCTCAAACAAGCACTAAATAAAAAGCTGACTTTTTGAAAACTTGAAGATTGATATAATTCATTTTTGATAATTTAAATATTTTATTTTGATTTATAAAAATAGATAAATTCGATAAATCAATATTTTTTTCTTTTTCAATTGAGTGATCTATTTTGAAAAACGTGTTGTCTAATTTTAAAAATTAAAGCCTGACAAAATTAAAAAAAAAGAAAAAAAGAAGAAGAAGAATATAAGATTAACTTAATTTTTGATAACCCAAGGGATTGTAGCATTGTGGTAAGGCTTGGGTTTAAGCTCTAAGATCACAAGTTCAATTCTCCCCTTGGGCAATCTCCTAGGCGAAACACTGTTGGTTAGGAGGTTAGACCTCAGTTGTTTAGTCAGCACTTGGTTTGGACCTCAAGTTGTCTAGTCAGCACTTGGTGTGGGTTCAATGCTCCTCCGCTGTGCGAGTCCTGTTGGTTAGGAGGTTGGACCCAAGTTGTCTAGTGTGCGAGTCCTGTTGGTTAGGAGGTTGGACCTCAAGTTGTCTAGTCAGCACTTGTGTGGGTCAATACTCCTCCGCTGTGCGAGTCCTGTAAGGGGCTCAAGTTGTCTAGTCACACTTGGTGTGGGTTCAATGCTCCTCCACTGTGCGAGTCCTGTAAGGAGCGCTGCCTTGGACCTGCGGGAGAATAGGGAGGATTTCCTATGAAAGAAAAAAAACTTAATTTTTTTACAGAAACTAAACAATTTGAATCAACAAAACAAAATAATTGACTCCATAAAATTTCTCAAGTTATTTTTAAACCTGAGATAATCTATATATTTAGTGTGTTTGGTCATGGGAGAATGGAGTATAAACAAAACGACATATGAAAGAGTTAATTATGCTTTAATATTTCATTTTTTTGTCATTATTTTATTTTTAATTAAACAATTAACATTTTATACTTTAAATGAAATTAAATATTATCATTTCGTTCATCCACCATGGTTAATAAAATTAACAGAATTATCATACATAACGAAACCAAGTACATTTATTTTTTGGGTAAGAGTATGTATAATATGGTTAATCACCTCTACTATCATAGAAAAAAAAAGACAATAAATACATTTTTGTTAGAGGACTAACTATCATATTTTCTAATTCCTTCTATTTAAAAATTATATATTGTGAGGATATATTTTCTGAATACCAAGACGTGGCAAGGTGG